TTTCTCATAGTACTTGTTACACTTATTCAGCACAGATTTCTTTTTGCTTAAAAATGACCTGGATTTTAATAGAGCTTTCTAAACTGAGCTTGGTCCATCTTTAGTTGATAAAGAAAGAATTTTTTAAACATCAAGAACTGTCCAATGAATGTAAAAGGTTCAATTAATAAGAAAACTTTAATGCATTCCTACTTTGTAATAGTCCTTGTTGTTGGTGGCTCAACATTTCTTAGCCTACTGCTTTAATTAACTATGTTCACATTGAATGTAATATATATATATATATATGTTACTTCTTGTTGTGAAGTGCTTTTTGACACTTAAAACATGTCGCTCCATGTCTGTCTTGATGTCATCAGGAGAAAATTCAAAGATTTTACTGATTTAGAATGTTATCATTATGGATGTCTATAGCTGAAGCTTAAGAGTTAGCTTATGTGGTATTATTTCTCATGTCTAGCAAAGTAACATTTGATCTTACATGTACTAAATGTGAACTTTCAACTGATATTGCACAGTGTTTGGTAATCGACCAAATATATTCAAATGTTTAATACTACATTAGTGAATATGTTCATTTTTAGCTTTTTATGTATAACACTAGGTATGTATTGTAGTTATAATGAGTTATATCAATCGACTAAAACTACTAGCATTTAAACATGATCATTTGAATGATAAAGGCTGGTTTTGAAATTAAAAAGAAAAATAATTTAATAGTTTTAGTTTAGTTTAGAGGATGGAACAGCTGAGATGGACCAATAGATCACTTGTTGTCCCTAAACTGTATGTTATGTTAGTGATTTCAAGCAATAATAGTAGATTAGATGGGGAAACTAGTAAGTCTGCAGTTTTTGTTTAAAAGTGGAGTTAGTTATCCAATTGACATCTTTGCTTTGCTAGCAAATACTGTCCTCAATATAAAATTTTATCATGCTATTGTTTTATAATGTAGGTGTTGGACTTTGTCATTTCCATTTGTGTCCATTATATTATCCTCAATTTTTCTTTTATTTTCCATTTATTATTTACCCGATTCCTAATCTCTAGATTCTCAGCTTTTTATTTTCTACACAATTTTGCACTTGTTGATATCCAATTTTTATGATAATTGATGTGTAATATTTAGTTTGATTTGGTATTTTAGAAAATGTGTGAATATATGTCAGTTAACCAAATCTCCATTGGACCAACCCCCCATATTGGAGAAGGAATATTCACTGTAATTGTAAATTTACTACATTTATCAACAAAAGTGTGGCATGCTTTTGTAAAATTAACAAGTCTGTTGTACACAAAAAATCAGATGTGTTACAAAAGTAACTGCACTCTGTCATTGAATTGACAATGTTAGTCTGACAGATTCTGAAAAGTCAGTGCAAGGTGATGTTTATGTAAAGAATAAAACTACTTTTGTCTGTCATACAGTTTGCATATTGCATTTGTATACATCTAGAATTGTATAGTTGCATTTTTTCTTCAGTATCCTTGTAATGTTGTATCTGATACATACTCTCTTCTACCATGAATTGTCACTAAATCAGCAAGTTGTGGTAAAATAGATAGTTTAT